GAGAGGTGAAGAGAGGCGTGCTGGTGAGTGAGGAGGAGGGGGGGGGATAAATGAGGGAGAGAGATGAAAACCGAGAAATAGTGTGTGAGAGAGAGAGAGAGAGAGAGAGAGAGAGAGAGAGAGAGAGAGAGAGAGAGAGAGAGAGAGAGAGAGAGAGAGAGAGAGAGAGAGAATTTGGGAGGGGGTATGGCAGAGCGGATAAAGAAAAAGTATGTAGAAATAAAGATTGAATGGTATTAATTGGGCTCTTCAAATGACGAGAATTGACGCACAAAAGTCATCGAGAGGCCGAGACAGGATGGGCAAATACTCAAAGGTTAACCAAACATAAGATCAACTGAACAAGAGACAAATAAAGCAATAGCGGAGAGACTTCCGTTGAGGTCATGAAGAGAACGAGAAAACGAGAGACGGAGGGATGAATAAAAGAAGTGAGTGATTGAGTGAGTGAATGAGTGAGTGAGCGAGTGAGTGAGTGAGTGAGTGAGTGAATGAGTGAGTGTGTCAGTGAGTCAGTCATTTTTTTTTTGGGGGGGGGGGGGGGGGAGAGGGAGTTTTTGTTTTATACTGTTGTCTTTGTCTTTTTTCCCCCTCTAATCTTCGACGCTTATTATAATCTTACCTACATCTATTTGTGTTGCAAGTGCCGTGAAACTCTGGTGTCGGTAGTCTAGTCTCCCTTGCTAATTCGTGCGTGCGCGCACACGTGCGTGCGAGTGCGTGCGTGAGTGTGTGTGTGTGTGTATGTGTGCGTGTGCATGCGTGTGTGTTTGTGTGTGTGTGTATGCCTGTCTGTCTGTCTGTCTGTCTGTGTGTTTCTTTAACCTTTATTTATCTTATTCCACGTTTTTACACTTGTAATAAAGATATGTTGGAAAACTTCCACACTTTTAATTATGGTTTTTGAAATTACGGCATTTTAGCGGTATACAATGGGAATAAACTGTGTGTTAACGAATATTTACATCAGATTGTTAATTGTTATTCTTTCCGAGCAGATAACTATTTGATTCTTTTCTGATTTAAAACGCCATTTACAAATTCAACAAATTGTCTGCGAGGCTCCAGCAATGTATAACAACAGCTTCATCATTCTCATCATCATTATTATCATTAAAACAACAATATAACAACAATATGAACAAGAACAAAATCAGAAACAACAACGGATGCAGAAGCAACAACAAAACAGTAACAACAAGAACAAGAACAACAACAACAATCATTACAATGACATCGATGACAACAAAAACAATAAAAATGGGTTCTTGAATTGCCCCTCTGCAGGATAGACAAACGTGCTCTTAATACAATTCTACAACGCATTTCTCTGCAATCGTACTTTGCGGCATATTCCTTACTTCCACTATTCACTTGTTGACATCTTGTTGTAATGTTTTTCTCCGACCTTTGTTGTTGTTATCATCGTTGTTGCTGTAGTACTGGCAATGGTGGTGGTTCCATGGTTGCTGATGGTGGTGAAAAGGGGTAAGTGGTGCTTGCGTTTGCTATGTCAATGTTGCTGTTATTGTTCATGTTGTAGTTGTTGTTGTTTTTGTTACTTTGGTATTCCGCTAAATAATTGAAGCATTTCTTGTCTGAAAAGAAGTCTGGTGTGTACATCGTCGTCAAAAAATATATTATGCTTCTTTACAATAGTTCTGAGATAATCTTGAACAACGATAACAAAATAACACATTTCTTCAAATCGAAAGTCGCGTCTTAAGTAATGTATCTAACTCGTTTTTAAAAGCCCCTCGCCCCCCGCCC